CTTGGTGGAAAAAAAAAACTTGATAGAATGTCTAGCATAGTTGCTTGGCCCTAGGGGTGTTCAAAACCGAACCGAAACCGAAAACCGAACCGAAACCAAAGCTTAATGGCTTATTGGTATCGGGTTAACGGTTTAACGGACAGGGAACGGATTGAATTTTTTTATTAACGGCTTATCGGTTTGGGGGCGAATTATTCAATTTTCTTAATGGATAATCCGTTAACCCGTTAAGGATTGACCATGTAATAATAGTAGTAGAATTTTTTTTATGGCATTACATGTTTTGGGAAATATTCGAAAAAATTCGTAGACCAAGTCTGAGACACACGAAATCCTTTGCATTGCTACAAAAGCCAATCAGAAGGAAAGCATTGAGACATTACATTGAGAAAATTGCGGCCAAGAAGTTCAATGAGAGATTCTTCCACAGCTCACCCAACTGAAACTCTGAGACTTAAATCGCAGCAGCAAAGGCATAGGCCAAAAGGGATAACGTCCTAAAAATCTGCTACAAACCACTGCTATTTTATGGACTCTTAGTTTTAATCTGTTGGTGTGCATTCCACTGCAACGACATCCACACTATAGATGTGCCTGAGAGAAAATGGAACTCCTTAAGACAGTCAAAAGTGGTGTATGACTTGGACCGAGTTCAAGTAATTGCAAAGAAAGGAAAGATTGCGCTGATGCAGAAAGATAATAGCTAAATTTGGTAAATTGCGTCATGTGCAATATAAATTGAATTAGGCCGATAAACTGCCCGATAAGAGCTAAACCGATACCAATCCGCCCGATATTTTATCGGGTGGCTAGCGGATTAATACATTTAAAAGCCGATAACCGATAAGCCAAACCTTAAGAGTAAATAACCGCTCAATCCGCCCGATAAGCAGCCCTACTTGATCCAGATTAGATCTCAAATATTTAGCATAACTGCTTTAACATTATGGTTAGGGACTGCTAAAATTAAATAATCATCAGTTTTGTCAAATAGTAATAATTTATTCAAAGTTTACGTTACAGTTTTAACCAACACAAATTGTAGTTTAATTATGAATCATAACTTAACTTTTACACAAAAATAATAAATTTTAGTTACATGTATATTTTTTAACATTTTTCTTAAACATAAAATAGAAAATAAAGCATAATTTTTTTTTTTATGAAATAATGAAGGTGACTAACATTTTTGAGATGGATTAAAATTGTGGTTGATTGTTCCCGAAATAAAGTTAAAGAGGAAGATCACTAACTTTTAACTTATACACAAAGTAATTATAGGCCTTTTTATTTCTTTGTTGAGCTCACTAAATAAGATAAGCATTTCTCATTTACAAAAAGTTAAATTTTTTTGTTTGATTTTTATTTTAAAACAAATACTTTAGTTATGTAATTTAAAAAAAAAATATATTCATTAAATTAGGGTACACGTGTGCGTATCCTCAATGTGAACACCGGGCATTGAGTTAAAAATAAAAATTAAAATTAATGTTATAAATAGAATTTTATTTATGGTGAATGTCTATATTTAGAGAGATTCTAGGGTTTATTACTTGGTGGCTAAGTCACCCTCTCCCTATAAATAGAGGGGTCCTATTCCATTGTAAATCATCCAATATCAATAAGAATCCTCTCTCTCTCTTTTTCTCTGCAATATTGTTCTTGTTCTTTTATTGTTTTATAACACGTTATCAGCACGAGACTCTAACCAATTGAGTAGAAGCTTTGGGATTGAGCATAATGATTGTCAATTATTCCATGAACTTCCTTCATGATTAAATTCTGGATTTAAGGTAAGTATTTTATTGTATTTTTCTCTTTTATTCTATACTTTGATTTTAAATACAAGCAAAGACAACAAAGTTTGATTATAAGTCTAATGGAGTTTGTAAGAAATTATAACCACCTGAAGTGGTAAAAATTTCTATGTCTTGCCATGATCAAATTCATATATGATTATGGGCACAAAAAGTGGAAACCCGTCCCATTGGATTTGCTCCATTCTCATTCCCTTAAGAGAATGTGATAGCAGTATGTGATAAGTCTGAAAGAAGACAAAATTATTACTATGAATGTATCAATGGATGTTGACGTGGCAATAGACGAAATTATAATCGTCATCATTTGTGGTAATGAGAACAATAAGGATTCTCAAAATAATCTTTCACTCTGTGAAAATATTTGTCATCGATTTGACATGAGATTTTATAAAGCACATATAGATAATTATGGTCAATTCATGATGTGAATGTGGCAACATCTAATTTAAGAATACATATTCATTTTTCAAAGAATATGAACGTGCTAGTGGTAGTGAATATACCGCACTCACCTCTAAAAGGAGGTTTGAGATGATATAAGAAAATAATGTCATTATTATGGCATGAATGGTCATTGGTCACGTACCTATTGTACGCCAAAATATTTTGGCATTGTGATTATTAAAAGACAACGATAATGCAAGAAACAGAACTTGCATATAATTTTGACCATAACCATAATGGTATAACTTTCTCTTTAAAAGAGATATTCACCATATTGATGTTGATGAATAAGTGGTAGTACCAAATTAATTGAGAGCTCTGGAAGAGCCAATTATTACTGTTTTGGAGAAATAAAATTGTCGTAGTAAGTCTCAAAGAAACTTATTTAGTTTCTAAAGTATACGCGAAAGCGGCTGATTATATTGAGACTATAAATAAAGGAAAGATTTAATATCTTCTATTACTATAACTTGTAGCGGGGTAATATGTATGTGAAAAGCTACCCGCTTTATTCTCCAGTTTGTACTACACAAACAAAAGAATGCCACAATAAAGAGAAGTTTATTGATATAAAAACCCATATCATAATAAACTTGGAGTTTATTGATAATTGCACACGTCATGGTATAAATCTGAAGTTTATCAATATTGATAATTTATTCAGTTGGCATAATTGGTTTATCCATATCAATTTAAGTATGATGTGCAAAAATAAATGAGAATTCACATGGGTAAATGTTAAAGAACTAGAAAGTTCTTTACGAATTCTCTTATGTTGCTTGTTCTCATTAACTAATATACCAATTAAAATTGGGATTGAATCCCATGAATGCTGGAAATATTAAAGGTGAATATGGGTCCATTCACCTGCCATGTATACCACATAAGATGCATCTATGAGATGGTTACATGTGCGATTATTATTAACCCGCAACATGGTGTTTGCGAGGTAACTTGCTCAATAATTTGATTTAGAGCATAATTTTCAGATTATTTATTCAAGATAGTTTGTCTTGATAAGTTGGTTTACATCACAGCTGGTTTAGCAAAATAATTTATTGAGTGCCTCCACTTAATAGCTAAACTATTGGTTATGAGAACAAAATTTTGTATATCAGTTTGATATACGTTATATACAAAAGTATATTATATTCTCCCCTCACAAGTGGTTCATGGTCAGGAACCAAATAATTCCATCTTATTATTATTGATGTGCTGTGTATATTTTGATTAACACCATAACGCACAAAGATGGGTTCTCAAAGTTGAGGAAACAAGTTAGTTTTTCTAACATGAGGGGGAGACAAGATACAACAGTTGAGAGAAAGTTACATGGAATGAATTATCATTTATACATTTAGATCCTCGAATAAAATAATATGAACTTGAAGTTCATAAAAGGATAATTCATTTGCAATATATTGCAAAGCATGCCAGACGCATTTGCTGACCCAAAGAAAGTAACTATATTCTCATTGCAAATGCTCATATTAAGTCCTAGAAGGACAAAGTCTATGGTACGCTTAAAGTATACAGACAAATCGGTTTCAAATAAACTTCTTGATAAAGAAGATGAGCAAATGATTTAAATGATCATCATAAGGAGGCAAGTGATCTAGAAGATCACATGGCATAACACTTCATAAAATCTCATGAGAGATTCAGGTACCTGAATATATGAATGAATCTATGTTATGTCTTTATTAAAAATGTTGAAACCAATATAAAATGTTCGTCGACGACATCTATGATACTGCTAAATATATATGAGGATCTTAAGTCTGGAGAAACAATTCAAATAGAATTGGTTTCATATGAAAGACATGTAGTTTTGGACTTGCAGTTCAAACACTTGAAAGTACAAAGTCAATGGTATGTGCAATCAGTTTTGGATATCTTATATGTCTAGCATGACATGAAAACTTGATATGCATCTAAAGTCTGTTATATGGCTAATATGACTTAACAATCCTTGAAGGATTTAAATTACTTAAAGCATATAGAATTCATGGTCATGAAGTACTACATCCTCAATGCAATTTGTGCACAAATGTATCTTGCTATAACTATAGGCATGGAGTTTTCACCTCTATGTGAAGATATTGAACTGACGGTTACAACAAGATCATATGAAGATAATCCATCTCTATCAAGAATGATGATTTCAAGGTGCAATATATTCATTCAAGTTAATATGGCTGATTTGTTTATCAAATATCTACCAAAGATCTTTTGAAGATGGTGCACAAGATTGGAATGCAAATGCTTAAGGATGTGAAAGTGATGCTCTCGTGAGGGGGAGTTAATACGCGTTGTACTCTTTTTCCCTTACAAGGTTTTGTCCCACTGGGTTTTCCTTGCAAGGTTTTTAACGAGGCAACCAAAAGGCGTATTGTTAGATATGTGTACTCTTTTTCCTTCTCTAGAATTTTTTTTCTCATTGGGTTTTATTTTAGTTAAGTTTTTTTAACGAGGCACATTATCTGTTGAATAGACATTCAAGGGGGAGTGTTATAAATAGAATTTTATTTATGGTGAATGTCTATATTTAGAGAGATTCTAGGGTTTAAGGGTCCTATTCCATTGTAAATCATCCAATATCAATAAGAATCCCCCTCTCTCTGCAATATTGTTCTTGTTCTTTTATTGTTTTATAACAATAAAACTATTATTACTCTAAATTACACCACATTCTTGTAAAGTTTCAATTTGACCAAACCTTATTATCTTAACTCTTCAACATTGTGGGGAAAAAAGGAAAAATTAATAGAATAAAGATTGCATAAACATGCAGAGGCGATAGATTCAACCAAGCTCTATTAAATTGGGACTGTCTCTCGTACATGTGAATCTCTAATTGAAATCGCTAATTATATTCTGTAATGCTGATCATTCTGATCTTGAATATTTGCCGCAATTCCTATTGACAGCATCGTCATGAGCACCGGCGGTTCGATGATTCCGAGCAATGTAGGGAAGACGATCCATGATATAAAGGAGATCGCTGGTGGCAAGCACAGCGACGATGACATTTACGCCATGCTCAAAGAATGCAACATGGATCCCAATGACACCGCTCAGAAGCTTTTGTATCTCGGTTCGTATATATATCTGCACTTCATTGTTTTTTCTTAATCAGCTTTATGCATTTATATGATGAATGGTGCAATAAATTAAAAAGCCTTTGGATGATCATGAATCTCAACTAGTTTGATATTACGGTGTAGTTTGATTGATGTACCATTTTATGTTAATCTTATGACGTGGGGTTTCTCAGGTGTTTACAATCTCCAATAACAACAACATACCCACGATAGTTCCACAAGTCTCGGGAAGGTAGTGTGTACGCATACCTTACCCCTACCTTGAGAAGGTAGAGAGACTATTTCCAAGAGACCCTCGGCGCATAATCACAACAGATAGGATAAGGAAATACGACAAAGGAAAATCTATGTAAAGAGAAACAATAGTCACAGTTAGAAAAAAAGATAACCGAAGCAAAAGAAACAACAAGTAGTATTAGACATCTAAGAAATGAAAGTACAAGAATACATTAGTACTACACGTATAGAAACGCAATACATGTACCAAAAGGAATTACGCTTGACGACTATCTAACCTACTACCCTAATCTTCGATCTCCACACCCTCGTATCAAGGGTCATGTCCTCGGCAAGTTGAAGATGTGTCATGTCTTGCGTAGTCACCTCTCCCCAATACTTCTTTGGCCTACCTCTACATCTTGTTGGCCTCACCATAACCAACCTCTCACACCTCCTCGCGAGGCATCTGTGCATCTCCTCCTCACATGCCCGAACTATCTTACCCACGCTTCCCCATCTTGTCCACTATGGAGGTCACTCTCATGTTATCCCGAATATCTTCATTCTTAATCATATCTCTCCTAGTATGCCCACACATCCATCTTAGCATCCTCATTTCCGCTACTTTCATCTTTTGAACATGAGAGGTCTTAACTGGTCAACGCTCCGCCCCATACAACATAGTCGGTCTAATAAACACTCTGTAGAACTTACCTTTAAGTCTCAGTAGCACTTTCTTATCACACAAGATGTCATACGCAAGCATCAACTTCATCCGCCCCGCTCGAACACGATGAGAGATATCAGCGCCCGCCAATCTCCCTTTACCTTGGAGGCTTGGATCATAGACCCAAGATACTTGAAACTTCCTCTCTTAGGTATGAATTGTGTATCTAGCCTCACTTTCATGTTAGCCTTCTAAGTCACGTTATTGAACTTACACTCCAAGTATTTTGTCTTAGTCCTGCTAAACCTGAAACCTTTAGACTCTAGGGTCTGCCTCCAAGCCTCCAGCCTAGTATTAATATCGCCTCTGCGTCTCGTCAATAAGAACTATATCATCTACAAATAACATGCACCAAGGTACCTCTCCTTGAATATGTCGCAGCAACTCATCTTTCACCAGGGCAAATAAGAACCGGCTGAGAGCTGATACCTAGTGCAACCCCGAAAAGTGGACCGGGGTCTCTTCCCACTGTCCGCACACGGGTTTGGCTCCATCGTACATGTCGATGTCCTTAATCCAAGTGTTTATTTTTTCCCTTAGCTGAAATTATTAGGCTGGTTTTTGGTGAGACAAAAATAGGATTTTTGTTTTGTGTTTCAGTTTTTTGATAGGCTCAGATGTGTCTACTTGCCACGGGAACGTAAAGAACTTGATATACGCATAATTGATTGATATTTTGTACTTAATACCTGCTTCTCAGTTTATTTGTCATAAGCAGCTGCCTATAGATTCTTTAATTAAGCTTTGAGCGTCCTTTGTGGAGTTAAGTATCACACAATTCTCAATCTCTTTGTGGTACATTTTGATCAATGTATTATTACGTTTTGTCCAAAATAGCAGCCCCTCGCCCTTTTCTATTCCAACCAGAGGGGGGGGGGGNNGGGGGGGGGGGGGGGGGAGATAAATGAGCATCGGTAATATCCTGTTTTCTGCATGCAAGAATGTTCCATTTCTATGTTCTAAAGTGTACTGTGCTTTAGGTAGAGTTACCATGCTAATCAAGTAGGAAATTCTGAAACCTATATCTCTTTCTTTAGAATTATTGTTCGTATTCAATTTTTACTTCCAACTCAATATAAACAACCGCAGTTGTTTATTTATTGATATAATTTTTCGAATATCTGCATTCATGTGGAGTAATTTTTTAGCCTATTACATTATTGTTTTTCTTTTAGCTCAAGCAAAAACTACCTAATTCTGCAGATACTTTCCATGAGGTCAAAAGGAAACGAGACAGAAAGAAAGCAGTAAGCATTTCCATCAACTTAGATTATAAAATTTTCACTTAGCTTGATAGTTCATAGTTTCACCATCTCTTCATCACAGAAAGCCAGCAACCAAACTTCTGAGGGTTACAGGTGGATGTCAGGCATGCAGCGGAGAGGGGCCAGGAATGGTCGTGAGAGAATTTCTGCAAATTACATCACTGATGGTATATAGGAGTTACTTTAATGTGGTCATGATCTTGATGGATTAACTTTCCTGCTTTTCTTGAGCATCCAGGATGCTTTGTGTTGAATTATGTTTTCAGCCTTTCAACATACAATTCAAGAATGATTGAAAACTTTCATGAGCAAAAAAAAAAGATCAGTTGTCCTCTCCTCTTTAAAACTCGTCTGCTGGCTGTTCAAGTATTCTGCCTTTTTTAAACAGTCATAGCTGGGGTCTGCACTTTTACTTATCATTTGAAGAACTGGTGTCAAGTATATTGAAAAGATAAAAGTTAAAATTTCTCATATTCTTCACTGTCACAAGGTTAAGACACAAGTAAATGAAGGTGTTTGCCTTAAGGATGATTGATCGTGGATATACATTTGGCTTACAATTATTATTATATGTTTGTAAATTGAGAAGAACTAGAACTTTTTTCACGGTTCAAAATTGCATCTGTAGTTCTTATATCCTGCTTGATAGGTTGATAGAGCATGTTCCTTTTCTTTTCCTATTGTAGTGGTAGTCCTGCCTTCATGTGCAATATTTTGATATATGCACGTTCTCTTATCACTTATATAGCTTGGAATCTGTTGGAATTCGAAAGAGTGTTTCTTATTGATAGAGGGAGATGTATTTTCTCTATTTATGGCTAGCTTACCCCCTTTCCTTTATTGTCATCAGATGCCAGTGGCAGACGACACATTAAGAAAGAAAATGGAGTCAATAGTTTGAAGGATAGAAGTTCTACGACCTCCATGCCGGTTGCACATAAAACTAATCCACATCCTAGCAAGGTATCTGCCATTGAGGTATCTGCAGATGATCCTAGTTACAGTAGAGTTGCTTCATTTGTTAATGTAAACAAGTTGGCAATTTCAACTCTACCTCCTAATTTAATAAACCATCATCCAAACTTGGATCCTGGCCCCACTCCTGCCCCCACCCCCACCTTTGCACCTGGAACCAGATTTCAAAGTAAAACTGTCATATCAAGACCTAATGAGCTTGTGACGAGCACAACTTTAGCATTGGTATCTGGTGTCTACTCCTCTGCCTCAGATCCTGTCCTAGTTCCAGCCTTGAATACCCGAAACTCAGGAATAGGCACAATAAAACGTGAGATAGGCAGCGAGCACACTGCTACCGAGTCCACTGTGTCTCCTGTAAATGAAGGAAGATTAGATGCTTGTCAAAGTCCTCCCCGGAATACTCATTCAGTCATTGGAACTGTCAACTGCATAAACACAGCAGCACCTTCTATAGAACCAGTTGTTGCAACTAACCGTGAAAGTCAGCACTCCAATCGAGTTAAAGGTCATTCAGAAGGTACCACTTCAATTTATATTGACTCTCCTTCAATTCATTTTTTCTTTTTTGATAGTTTGAATTTAAGGGGGAACCTCCTTCAGTTAAGTAATAGGATGGAGCTCTTGTATTTATGTAAGTTGCTTAATGGCAAAGGTCTAAGTATTATATTATTAATGTAGTTTTTGAGATATACATGAGAGAAATAGCTGGCTATCTTACAAATCCATTTCACTGCCATCAATTCAAGATGTTGATAACTGCTACCTGGCCTTATCATTTGTTGAACCATTGAACTTGGTTGGCTTTCAAGACGCTAATAACTGCTACCTAGCTAATATCGTCCGACTTGGACCATGGAATTTGGTCGTCTTTCAAGCAAAATCAGATAATAATTATAACATAAACTTCATGAGTTTACCCATGTGTTGCTTTTGTGGAGGAGGAAGAAGACTCTTGTGATTCAGACTTCCTTTTTTCTTTCCTTTCTTGGTAATCTCACTTTATCATAATTTTATGCAGTATTGCCATCTCAGGCTGCAGCTGTTGCAAAGGGAGCCCATTTACCTTCACTTTCTAAACTAAATTCTGCCATGGAAAAAGCAGTTCCACAGCTTGACATGAAACTGGAGAAGTTAAATATCTCTTCCCGTTGTCAGCCTGTTATTTTTCCGAATCATCTCCAAGTACCTGAATCTTTTAGGAGTGGATTGACTTTCGGTAGTTTGGATCCACACTTTGATCCAAGCATAAGCTGCGGCAAAGACTCGATGCCTGTGGAGACTGTTCCAGCTAATGATAGAACTTCCATGGAAACCGGGAGGTCGGTAACGGAGTGACATGTCATGCTTTTGTATTCATTTGTGATTTTATATATCTAATGTGTCTCTACTGAAGCATTTTTACTGATTTGTTGTAGTCTGAGGGCATGCCAATATTCTTTTGCAATCATGTATAACATTTTGATGAAGGTTCCATGACAAAATTGCCTCTGGACTGTCAAAATTTTTTCTAGTGTAGCTTATAGTCACACAAGGATGACCATGTCATTATGCTTATCCTGGGCTAGTCTGTAGGACAGTAACTGTACACTGAGTACTCTTTTCTCTATATCTTATACTTGACCTCTCATCACCATACAGAACTAATTGCAGCTACCAGGATGCATCTTCAGCAGCTCAGGGAGGTGATTATCCTGATAATCCGCTTTCACACCAGCATGGATCTGAAAATATACCACCTTTTGAGGTATCTGGTGCCTCTCCTGTGTATGATCAGTCAAAGCCGGAGGTATATGCAGGCTCACAATTGCCACTGCAGACACCTCTTGATTATAGCTTGGGTTTTGTACCACCCGCGCTAGGGCCCCAACTTGTACGTATTGAGGGACCAGAACAGCAGGTATGTCATGATGGCCCTAATACATCTCTACTCTCCATTTTTCATTCTAAAGTATTCTTTTGCCCTTGCTTCTGTCTGTGCTGTCAAATTGAATACTTAGTCAAATGCCTGTTATATAAGACAATGCTAACTCTATAAATAATTTGAATGAGTAGATCTTGCTGTGTGGGCAATTGAAGGATTACTTTAAGATAGAACAAATTTGGCATAACTTCTCGCTTCACTTGCACATTAGTTGTTTATGTAGTTTTTCATTCTACAAGATCTGATCTGGACCATGACTAGTCAGAGTAGACATCATCTCTTGAGTGGTGGTGCTTCATTTGTGTTGGACAACAATTGACTTAAAACAATTATACTTGTGTATGTCCAGGGTAAGACACTTAATATGCAGCTGATGCTTTCTTTTCTACCAACAGAGATGGATATGAACGAAAAATTCTTAAATACATTTAAGGCGTGTTTGGTTTGAAGCAAATGTTTTCCGCGGAAAATGATTTTCCTGGAAAACATTTTCTTGAAAATAAGTGGTTTTCTTACTTATTTTCTGGTGTTTGGTTAGCTAGCAGAAAATAATTTTTGAAAAATATATAATCTAGGCAAACATTATGGGAGACGATGGGTCAATGTGGGGTCAGGGGGTTGGGGTAGGGGTCGTGCTCAGACCCGACCCTAGTAAGGTGAGGTTGGGGGTCTAGGGGTGGGGGTGGTGCGGGTGTAGATTTGGGGGTGAGGGTGGGGTTGGGGAAGGTTGAAAGAAAGTTTTGGAAAATGTTTTCCTTACTTTTGCTAGGGAAGTTATTTCGCCGGAGATGCTTGTGATACTTGTAGAAGAATGTTTGTCTCTGCTTGATAATAAAGCTATTTGACATAACTTATGCGTCTATTTGGTGCCTGTTGGCGCTTGTCAACTGTTCATTCCACAGTTCTTTTGGAGTTTGGAATGTTCAATAAGTAGTGAAATCCTTATCTTCCTTCCCTCCGCACACCACCCACTCTATCTCTTCTCTTTTTGTGTCTGCTATTTTTGGTCTGACTAAGTTTTTATATATCCATTGGCTGCTGCAGGGTGGGAATTCTCAAGCTCCTTCAATGTCGTGCTCTAATTCATCTTTGGCTCAACCCGTAGGCCTTGGGCAGAGTTCTGTCACCGTGCCTCCGCACTTGTTTCCATTAGTCCGGCAACCATTTCCTCCTAATTATATTCCGTATAACCCTTACATTCCCCATCTTTATATGCCACAGGGTGCTCACCAGTTTTTGGGCCCGAGTGGCTTCCCTCAGCAACCTTCTGCTGCCAACTTTTATATGTCACCATCAGTTACTGCTGCTGGTGTCAAACTACCTCTTCCGTCTCTGTACAAACCAGCAGCTATTGCTGGAAACTTGAACCACTTCGGCGTTCCTACTGGATACAGCTCATATGGGTCCTCAACTGTCTCATACACTGCAACTCCAGCTCCGGTTTGTTCAGCTAGTAATGAAGATCTCACTGCAACTGAGCTGAAAGAAAAGAATGTCTACTCCATGCAAAAGCAGGTTTGTGTTTCTTTTTTCCTTTTCTAACTAATTTTAGTATGCAACGGCGCCATCTCCTTTCTATTCCTTCCTACTTAAGTAGCAAACTCTTCATGATTCTTGTACTTTTACCCTCATGCTTATTTGTTATTTTACAAGCTCATATCCTTGTTTGATTTAAATGTGGCATATTATGATACGGAGATATCACCTGTTCTTTTGTGCATGCAGAATGAAGATTCCCATTTCAGAACCTCGGCACCTGGACGTGATCTATCAATGCTGCAGGCTAATTACTTTTACAACTTCCCTCAGGACCAGCAAGTTGGTTTTGCACCAGCACATTCTGCTAATAGTTCTTTTCCTGGAATTAATCCATCTCAGACAATAGCTGTACCATCAAATGTTCAGCCCCTGGTCCAACAACCTCAAACTGTTACCGGATCAGTTGAATCTGACCTTCCTACATCTGGTGCTTGTCAACAACCTCAAGCAAATATTCATTGGAACAACAAATTGTTGAACAGAGAAAACATCTAAGAATAAAGACCATTATTATGCTTGCTGTTTGCATCACTCAAGTATGCAATATAAACTAAACATCACTGATAGATCAAAGCCGTCCTCTTCCAAGTGTATATATGATGTGGCTAGAAACTAGGCACTCTCGGTGAGATCACATTGGAATGTAGAATTTTCAACCTTTGGATCTAAAATAGGGTTTCTTGCTTTTGATAGTTGACAGTTAGCTTTCCTCAATTCCCTAATTTTCTTGAGACTGGAGGAGGTTTTTTGAAGTATGAGTGGAGCAGGTGAAATATCTCAATTGTTTCCATTGCCCTTCTAGCTTGTATATCAAATTTTTTTGACTAGACTGAATAGTAATGTGTGTTTAATGAATAAGATCCTTTTATACAATTAACAAAGACAAAGTTAGCTGCCGATATGTTACAACATCTTACATCCAGAAATTGATTCTTTTGCTTCTTTCAGGTTAAGGTATAGTTGAATTGTCAACGCGTGAGATCACAGCTTGCATGGAATAATATTTACAGCAATTCATGATAAAATCACTAATAGCTGCAATGGCAACCACAGTAACATTGTGGTTTCCCAACCAAAGGCCATACCACAAAATGAAGAACCACTTTTATTTTGCCATCCAAGCGAATAAAAATTTAGAAATATAATCTAATTAAATTATACAAGCTTTTGGATGGGAGGTGATCATTGTTATGCGGAAACTAATAAATATTCTATTTGAGTTGAAAAATATACTATGTTAAACCTCTTTTGATATAATTGTCTTAATCTAAAAAAAATTACTTTATTAATCGAGTAATTTTTTCCCGCAATAGCCAAACATGCCTTTTTTAAATATTATTAATGTTATGTTTATTATGGAAGCTAGTAATACGCTACGTTAACCCTTCTCGCCTCCATTTCCATCCCAGCAAGAAACCAAACTGTATGTATTTACAGTGACCCTTTTCACTATTTCTAACGTTTCTTTCTTCCCTTTTCTAATTCCCATTTTTTTAAATTTTTTTTTTTTTGTTCTTTCTTTCTTCAGCTTTGTAAAATTTGACCAATTTGATTAAGTATGTCGGATGACAAGAGAGAAGAGAAGGAATTGGATCTGACAAGTCCAAAAGTTGTTACCAAGTATAAAAGTGCTGCTGAAATCCTCAACAGTTAATATTCTTGTTTATCTTATTCTTTTTTTTGTTATTTAATTTCTTCTTTATGTTGTGTTAAAAATAGAATTTTTACATGCTTTCTGTATACGCCTTTTGATTATTGGATTGAAAATGTCCTCCCTGAAAATGGGGTTTCTCTATTTGCGTTATATGATAACTGAAAATGACTGCTAATGTTACAAAATTTTGTACTAAAAAATAATCAAACTATGTAAAATGCCTAGTAAAAGAATAGTTTGATTCCATAGTTAATATTCTTCAACCCCTTTTGTTCTTTTATCTCTTTCTTTTTGGTCATTTTTGATTTATTTAGTGGTAAAAATAGGATATTTACATGTATCCTGTATACCTCCTTTGATTTTTGGATTGAAAATTCTTCCTCGAAAATGGGGTTTGGGAAAATTACGTTATAGGTCTACTAGGAAAGAATATTTAACCGGTTTAGCCATTGTGTTTCCTTAATTACCTGGTTTAGCCTAAATTTTCCTTTTAACACCTCTTATGCACTATTATACACTTTTATAAAAGGTGGACATATTGTTAACCATAAGTGTATAATGTTTGTATAATGTCGTATAATGATGTATACCGTGTGTATATGTTGCAAAGAAGTATAAGGGTGCTGCTGAAATCGTCAACCATTAATATTCTTTATCCCATTCGTTTGTGTCATTTTCTGCTTTTTGTATGTTAAAGATAGAATATTTTACATGTTTTTGTATACCCTTTTTGATTCTTGGATTGAAAATTGTTCCCCTAAAAATGGGGTTTCTCTATTTGGGTTATCTGATAGCTGAAAAACACTGCTAATGTTACTAAGTGTAAGGGTGCTGCTGAAATCATCAACAGTTAATCTTCTTCTTTAACTCATTCTTTTTTGTCTTTTTTTTTTTTTTTTTGCCTTTTTTTGTGTTAAAGATAGAATATTTACATGTTTTTTATGTACCCCATTTGATTCTTGGATTGGAAATTTTCACCCTGAAAATGGGGTTTCTCTATTTGGGCTATCTGATTACTGAAAATCACTGCTAATGTTGCCAACTTTTGTACTAAAAAGTAATCAAATTATGTAAAAGATGTTAAATAATTAATAAAGAACAATTAATATTCTCTATCTCATTATTTTTTGTTAATTTCCGCCTTTTTGTGTTAAAGATAGAATATTACATGTTTGGCGGACACCCCCTTTGATTCTTGGATTGAAAATTGTCCCCCTTTAATGGTGTTTCTCTATTGGGGTTATCTGATAACTGAAAAATCACTGCTAAAAGGGATAATTGCACTTTTGATCCCTTGATTATTGATGATTTTGATTATGTCCGTGTAATATTTGGTTAAGAATATTTAACCTTTTTGCAAGTATAAGAGTGCTGCCGAAATTGTCAACAGTTAATATTCTTTATCTCATCCTTTTTTATCATTTTCTTGCCAAGATAGAATATTTATATGTTTTTTGTATACTATTTTGGTTTTTGGATTGAGAATTGTCCCCTCGAAAATTGGTTTTCTCTATTTGAGTAATCTGATAGCTAGAAATGACTGTTAATGTAGCCAACTTTTGTACTAAAAATATTCAAATTATGTAAAAGATGGTAGTAAATGACGGGTTTCATTTTCTACTTTGTTGTGTGCCAAAATGAGGGGAGCCTTGGCGTAGCCGGTAAAGTTGCTGTCATGTGACCACGAGGTCACGGGTTCGAGCCGTGGGAATAACCTCTTGCATAAATGCAGGGTAAGGCGGCTGCGTACGATAGACCTTGTGGTCCGGCCCCTTCGGAACCTGCGTATAACAGGAGCTTGGTACACCAGGCTGCCCATTTTTTGTGTGTCAAAAAATAAGATATTTTCATGTTTTCTCTGTACACCTTTTGATTTTTGAATTGAACATTGTTCCCTGCAAATGGGGTTTCTATTTTTGGACTATCTGATAACTGAAAATCATTGCTAATTTACAAACTTTTGTACTAAAAAATATTCAACTATGTAAAAGATGGTAGTAAAAGAATAGGTTGGTTCCACAAATGGTATTTTATCAAAAGAGGAAGAAGAAAATAAACAGTTTGACACCCAATTAGTAAAGATAAACTAAAACAAAGTTGGTATTAAATTTGGACAAGTTGCACATTTGGACGGTCGGTCAAAAATAGTTACATTTGCTAGCCGAATATACAAAAAAAATACACTATTTTGTATACAAATGTATATATGCTATGTATAATACTATAATATACACAAATTATTACAAGCTATTATTTTGGTGGGTGACTATTTATGTCAATTTATCATTAAATTTTTCTGATATTTTGCTATTGATTTATACAGTTACCAGTTTCAAAAAATATATTTTGCTATTGATTCTGCAGAGGCTTTGCTGTTGGTGGTGTCTGAATGCAAGCCAAAAGCTAAGATAGTTGATCTTTGTGAAAAAGGAGATGCCTTTATCAAAGAGTATGAGCATTTTCTCTTTTTATATCTTCTCAGTCAGATTTTTATTTTAGAGTTTCTGCTTAAGAGTGAATCCTGGTACAGGCAAACAGGGAATATTTACAAGAAGATGAAGAAGAAAATCGAGAGGGGCGTGGCTTTCCCAACATGCATTTCAGTTAACAATGTCGTCTGCCATTTTTCTCCACTCTCTAGTGATGAGACAGTATTGGAAGAAGGTGATATGGTGAAAATGTAAGTAATAGTTTAGAGCATTTTGAGGTTTTTTAATTTCTTTCCATGATTGTGCATGGTAGGAAAGAGAAGTGTAGTTTGTGAGTGAAATTTGGCCCTGAATTCAAAATAGAAGAACTGTTTATCATGTAGTTAATTTATTTTTTTCCAAATCCAGTTCTAACTCAGCGGGGGTCGTTTGGTTACTGGTTAGAGTTATGCATGGTTTAGTTATTCATGTATTTTATTTCATGTGTTACTTATTCCATCTTTCTACCCTTCATAAATAATACATAGATTCTCTCATAACTTATACATGTACTCCCTCCGTTCCAATTTATATGACACCATTTGACTAGGCACAAAGTTTAAGAAAGAAAGGAAGACTTTTGAAATTTATGGTCTAAAACAAACCTTAGACTGTTAGACATTTGTGTTGCTATAAATCCTATAAGTAAGGGTAAAAGGGAAATTTTAAAGTTAAGTTGGTTCTAGTTTATAGAAAGGTGTCATTCTTTTGGATGCAAACTAAAAGGGAAAGTGTGTCATATAAATTGGGACGGAGGGTGTATTAGTTATGCGGGGTCATAAACTAGTAACCAAAGACCATACTTGATGTGCTGAATTTATATATAGCAACTAAATACTACCAAACATGAAATTAGTTAAGCTGGTTTTAGTACACTAATAACTCACTTCTTAACCAGCGACCTAACGGCCCCTTAAGGTTTAATTGTTTAATGCGGACCATGAAGCTGCTTTTGATAACTTGACTGTCTTTTATATTGTGGAATCAGATAAGCTGTTTGCAAGAGTAAGACATGGTTACTTTTTTTTTTTTTTTTTTTTTTTTTTGCAGTGATATGGGGTGTCATATAGATGGCTTTATTGCTGTAGTTGCTCATACGCATGTGCTCCAGGGAGGACCTGTTACTGGTAGAGCTGCTGATGTAGTTGCGGCTGCTAATACAGCGGCTGAAGTTGCTGTGAGGCTTGTGAAACCAGGAAGGAAGGTAATGTGTAATCTAAATCGGGAAACGTTATCTTGCGCAAGTCGAGCTTTTCAAACTTTAGTTACCACCACTTATATGTATAGGACGGTTCACAGTAACAATTATCATTCCCTTATGGAGACTGCATGAGTATCAATGCGGGTCAAGTGCCAGTTGCTAAAGATTAGTTGTGTGTTTTACACTTAGCTTTTACCTCAAAATATTGTTATCTATCTTATCAAAATGTCGACGGGTGCGTATCGGATTCTTCAAAAGTACTGCATTTTTGGAGAGTCCGAGCAACATAGGTTTTAGCCTTTAGGTGGGCTTGATTAGATAGAAGGAATGTGATGAATATATGGGTAAGTCTGTTAAGTGCTGCTTGGAGGATGTTTATTGCCATCTGCCCAGCCTGATTGTGCTGGGAAAGTGGATTTGAAGTTCAAACTTGATCATCAAAGTGAAATTTGAAAATCAAGATTTGTTTGGCTTGAATCTTGATCCTAGCTCTAGAAGCAAGACCTTTACTGTCTCAAGTCTTGGAAAAAAGATCATTTAGTTGGAAGTGCCTAATGCGCGAGTAGTCATTAAGCGGTGGTTACTTATGGTTATATGATCATGTTTTAAAAGTGTGAACTTGTTTCTTAAAATAAGAGTGTATTTCGCTAAAGACAAGATACAAAGATTCATATAGGTGATAGCACTAGTTAAGGATAGGTTTTAGACTTGTTAGAAATCTTCTAATATTATTATTTAGTGATTTGTTTTAATTATTTTTATATGTATTTAACTTATTTGCTTTTAGTTTATTTACTATTATGATGATAAGAAATGAGTTCAAATGAAGTGGGGATTCATATAGCCAACCCCAACTTGTTTGAGACTGCTATCGTCCCCTCCTAGTTGCCTCAATATGCTGTGTGAGTTAATTATTTATGCCTTGGTCTTGTTTGAGTGTTTTGAAAATACTACATAGGTGGATTTATGTTCAAGATTAATGACAACTTGCCTTTTATCTTATGCTTGTTGTTTTTACAGTTCATCCCAGTAGTTCTTTTCTAGCTACTGTTGTTATAGCGACTAGTTTCTGTTAGATATTTGTTGCTCAGTTTCTTTGACGTTGCAGAAATCGGATGTAACAGAAGCTATTCAGAAAGTTGCTGCAGCATATGACTGCAAGATCGTTGAGGGTGTTTTGAGCCATCAAATGAAGCAGTTTGTGATTGACGGAAACAAAGTCGTCTTAAGTGTGTCCAATCCTGATACCAGAGTAGACGATGCAGAGTTTGAGGAGAATGAGGTCTATTTGGTTAACATTGTTACAAGCACCGGTGAAGGGAAGGTAAAATGTTGAAACTTTGAGGCCGGACAATTACATGGAAACCAAAACTTATCAATTGAAAATGGGCTTTTCTCGTTTTTGGCCCGTCGGCCGAAGCTATTTACGTCCGTTAGCCAAAATATACAGAACATACACACTTATTATGTATATTTGTATATTTATGTGTACTATATGTATATTTATACTTGATATACAAAACCTATACATTTGCTGGCTATTAATTTTTTGAGCGGTCCAAAAATGGAATTATCCCAGTGAAAATCTCACAAGTATTTACTTGTGCCATTCAAATTTCGTAGCCAATATTGTTGGACGAGAAACAAACAACCATCTACAAGAGAACTGTAGATAAAAGCTGCAACCTGAAGATGAAAGCATCGAGGGTTATCTTCAGAGAAATCAGTCAGAAGGTCCCTATCATGCCATTTACAGCAAGGTTGTCATGATTTTCAATTTTTTTTCTTTTTAACGAATTGTGCCGTAGTAAGTATAGTTGTTTCATGATTATCATGTTGTATCTTTGTTCTTCATAACAGGGATTGGAGGAGAAAAGAGCTCGTGTGGGACTAGTCGAATGCGTTAACCATGAACTTTTGCAGCCATATCCTGTTCTACATGAGAAATCTGGTCCGTAAAATATTTTAGCGCTTTGCATTTAAAAAAATAAAATATTTCACCTCTCTGTTGTACACCATAACTCCATGCTTAAGCTGCTGTTGTAACAATATGCAGGTGATTTGGTTGCTCACATAAAATTCACAGTGCTATTGATGCCTAATGGGCCAGATAGGATCACGTCTCATGCTATCCAGGAGCTGACACCTGCGAAGACAATAGACAATGAGCCTGAAATCAAGACCTGGCTAGCCTTGCCTGTGAAGACCAAGAAGAAAAAGAAAGGTACATTTGAAAAATAACTGAAGTAATCTAGTGTTTAGGTTGTCATAACACAAGCATCATGTTGTTGGAGATAAATGTAGTAGTAACACTAAAATACCTATGTAGATTTTATCGGATTATATACAACCTCGTGAAATTACAGCCAATCAGAGTCTTGTATACATAAAGAAGTCTCTATTTATTCTTTATTTCTGAATATTCATATAATTGACGTCCACTTGCTTATGATTAAGACTAATTTGTAATGATCAATAACTCATTGAATTCTCATGATCACTGATTCTCTATCCTTTGATTAGCAGATGAGAAAATGTTGCTGGAATATTAGTTGGTGAGTGAAATGTTACTGGATGGAATCTTAACCTATGGAAGGACAATTAATTGTTGCTGAATCTTAACAAGTTGATGGTGCTTGATTGATTCAATTCCAAGAACTATTTGGTTCTCATTGTTATTTGATCTAGGATTAATGAGGTCGTTTTGGATCTTTCGTGTGGCCTTTTTGCCATACAAGATGAGCCTGGACAGTTCTCTGTCCGGAGACTTTTGTCTTGTTAAATTATCCAGTGGGGTTTTCAATTTTCTAATGCTTTTATTGTCCAAAGCTTCAATGGGTGTGCTGTACTCTTCTCACTTTTGAAGTTGGATACGCGAGGATTGGTTCACTGTGTGGTCTAGTGGTCACGAGTTTTAAAGTTAAAACTCTAGTTGAAGCAAAAGTGACAAGATGATATTTCCTCATTTGTTACTTTAGTGGATAGACTTATCTTGCCCTTGTGTTGGTTGCTTCCGATAGAAATAATTAAGGTCCGCACAAGCTATGACATAACAAAAGAAAGAAGGATGGATATATGAGAGCTTCAACACAGTAATCCCTATTTCTTTCTGGAAAACAGTCAAGGATAATTCTAATAGTTGTAAATAACTAGAACATAATTACATTCAATGTGGGGAAAAAAATCTCATAATATAATCAATCGAAAAGAGATAAAAGGAAGAAGACGAAAAAGAAAGAAAGAATAGGGGGACAAAAGATGATAAGGGGAAAAAGATAACTACAGTTACAACAGCAACATGTAAAAGATAAAATAGCATCAAATAGTAATAAATTGGAAAATACGATACACAGAGCAAACAATAAGCAAACACTGGGGGTCAAAGAATACGAAAAAAAACAAGGGAGCTACTAATACTACTAAAAAAGAACGGAGAACTCTCGACTACTACTAGTCAACTACCTTAATCTTAGACCTCCACACCCTTCTATCCCGGGTCATGTCTCAGTGAGTTAAAGTAGCGCCATATCCTGCTTAATCACCTTCCCCAATACTTCTTCAGCCTTTCTCTACCCCTTTTCAGCGCTGTCATGGCCAGCCTCTCACACCTCCTAATAGGAGCATCCGTATTCCTCCTTTGCACGTGCCCGAACCATCTCAGACTCAACTCCCGCATCTTGTTTTCCACGGGGGCCACTCCCACTTTGTCCCGAATAAATTCGTTCCTAATCTTATAAAGGCTTCAAATAAAATTCAATAAAAATATATTTATGAACATTTAGTGTATTTAATAATAATGTATATACAAGGTTTGGACAAACACTACTAGAAATTCGGCAAAAATCGATCACGGTCGATCGTCAAAAAACCAGCTAAAAAACCGACTAAAGTTGGTCGGTTTTTCAAAATATTTTTTTTTTACGAAACGAACCAACTTTGATCGGTTTTCTTTGACGCAAAAATACGAGCGGAACATGAAAATGCTTAAAAGAAATAGTCCATGCATTTCAGAACGTGTCTATTTATACCAGAATGCTACTACATATTTAAGAAATATATAAATAAAAATATTGGAGAGCACTCATCTTTGGATGGACATATTTACTTCTTTTTAGTCCACACCAAAAAAAAAAAAAAGTCTGACTTAATGATTTAAATGTCACCCGACAAAAACTTACCCATTTCATGTTCTTCGAGTTATTTGATATTTGTCACGTATGTCCATTGGCATTTCATGTCAAAAAAAGTTACGTTTTACATCAAATAATAATCAGATTATATGTATAAATACTATATTTATTTTTACTTAATTATTATTAATTATTAAAATGTGCACTATAATTTATTACTTGATTATATTAAATAAGGGTGTCAATTATCCGGTTCGGCCAGTTATTTTATAAAATATGTTCAAAATACCAATCTCGGTTTCTCTTCAGTATTAATACGGTTCAATTAATTTTTGTTTTTTTTTTCTTAATTTGTCATGTAAGAGTCGCTAATAGAAGTTACAAGAATGTATATATTCATTATTCTTTTGACGGAGAAGAGAGTAATTTAATTGAACATTCGTTATGAAGTGTATCTAGGTTAAGGCCCATATTCCTCTTCCTAAACCATGTATAATAATGTTAGATTTCTTCAAAAGTGTAGTGAGTTATTAAAGTTAAATCCGTCAAGTGTAAAATCTATATCCACCTCTTCACAATAGTGCACTCATCCTCTTTCTTTTGAAATTCCGAATCCGCCTCTGATTATGATTTATACTAGTAATGAAGGTGTCAAATCTTTATAAAAATTACTATAAAAGCAGGAAGAAGTAGTTACCTACTACTAGGTGTTTTGGCAAATAAACTTTTCGGGCTATCAAAAGCAAGCCATCAACTTTAATACAGTAGAGAGTATTACTTATTGCTCTATATATACAACTCTAGAGTTCCCACTACTAAACAAATTCATCTGAAATCCACAAGAATGGCCAAAATAAGCACCACTATTACCACAACATTTCTCATCATCTCACTATTCCCCTTTTCAGCGCTATCACGGCCAGCCTCTCACACCTCCTAACAGGAACATCCGTATTCCTCCTTTGTACGTGCCCGAACCATCTCAGACTCAACTTCCGCATCTTGTTCTCCACGAGGGTCACTCCCACTTTATCCCGAATAAATTCGTTCCTAATCTTATAAAGGCTTCAAATAAAATTCAATAAAAACATATTTATGAACATTTAGTGTATTTAATAATAACGTATATACAAGGTTTGGACAAATACTACTAAAAATTCGGCAAAAATCGATCACGGTCGACCGTCAAAAACCGACCAAAGTTGGTCGATTTTTCAAAATATTTTATTGTTTAATTTTTTTTTTTACGAAACGGACCAACTTTGATCGGTTTTCTTTGGCACAAAAATGCGGGAAACTATTTTTGAGTCCCGCAAAATTTAAATTTCAATAAACCGACCAACTTTGGTCGGTTTTCAATTAAAATAAATTAAAATTAATATTTAAAAAACCGACCAAAATTGATCGGTTAATTCGGCCAGTCATCTTAAAAACCGACCAACTTTAGACGGTAACTTTCGTGCGAAAATATAATTAAAGAGTATAAATCAAATAAAAGACAGTCTTAAAACAAAATGCACCAATGGTCTAGTGGTAGAATAGTATCCTGCCACAGTACAGACCCCGGTTCGATTCCTAGATGGTCAATCTTTTGATTACATAATTAAAATACCGACCAACTTTGGTCGGTATGCCCTTCCGACCATCAAAATACCGTCCACACATAAATGGTCACGTTCTAGACGGTTATTGGCCATTACCGACCAACTTTGGTTGGTTTTTTGGGTCGATTTTTGCCGAATTTCTAGTAGTGAAAAGGACTGAATTTTTCTGAACCTGTATAATGTATTCTAGGTTCTTTCTGGAACTACAACTTAAGTAAGTTACCTAATTGTGCAAATATGTCTGTTTTGAATGTTCACAACGTAGAAAAAGAATGATGGATTACAAGTGTTGCTGCAGTTAGTTCTCCAACAACCTCAGGCTAGGCTATGGTGTGACTGAAGCCTATATCGCAAATGTGTGTGTGGGTGTATGTTATCTACTCTGATGAAATTTTAATAAGGGTCGATGGAATTTTATTAGAGCGAAAAACTGTTTGTCAACCTTAAGAGAATTTGTTGTAATTGTTTCTGAAAAGTAATCATTTTCCTCTTACATAAGTATTTTTTTTAATTCGAAATTCCCTCTTTCCAAGAGTTCCCCACCTTAACAAAACTATTAATTGGAAGTAAAGGATGTTCACCACTCGAGCAACCCACTTTGTCTTTCCTCTTACTGTTTTACACTGAAGCACTAATCCTGGAAGAGTGAATTGCTGAGAAGTGCGAATCATAATATTAGATTTCGAGCCTGCCTCAAATTCAACAATTTTTACTATTATTTTGACGCAACTAGCAACTTTCTATAATTTGTTATGGCTGAATTTCACAAATTATCATATAATTACGATTTTTTTTTCACGAAAGTCATATAACTATGTTTTCTCACATAAAATCGTAAAACTTCTACTAATTCACACAAAAATCATAATGACTAGAAAATACAACTTTTCAATAGTATTTTCTTTTTTCATTGTTTTATATTTTTTATTTCCAGTCTAATAAATAATAATTAAATTAAAATAGGAATGGTCCAACCGACTTGACCCACCCAACTCAATAACCATATATATAAATTAAAATAATACTGAAAGTGAATCCTTGAAAATGCGATTCTTCAATCTTCTATTTTTCTTTTCAAGATATTCATACTTGTTTTAAGATCTCTCTAATTATACTTTTTTTTTGTTTGTCAGAGTTGTTTCATGCATTCCAAATTAAGTTTTAGTGAGGAAAAAATTTATTTTTAGTATTATTTTAATTTATGTAAATGGGTATTGTGTCAGGTTAGGTTGGTCTATTCCTATTTTAAGAGAAAAATATAAAATTAATCGGTCAGCCGAAACTAATTGCATTCTATATTACACACACACACACATTTATTTATTTATTTATATATATATATATATATATATATATATATATATATATATATATATATATATATTTTAGAGCTGCTAAAAATATATATATTTTCTTATTTTAGTTGTGTTATTATTTATTAGACTGAAAAAAATAAAAGAACCTGGAATATAAAAATAGTACTGGGAAATTGAGTTTTTCGGTCACTATAATTTTTGTGTGAGTTAGTGAACGTTTTATGATTTTTGTGTGAGAAAACAAAGTTATATGACTTTGGTAAAAAAAAAAAGTCATAATTATATGACCATTTGTGAAATTTACCCAATTTGTTACCTTTTACCTCTCTCGAATTGTTTTGGTTTTGTGACATAATACCAACAAACTATATTGAGGTACCTTGGATGGATTATAATTTCTGTGTCATGTTTTTAAGATAGATGGTGAGAAAAGGCTCTACAAGCTACCTGTGTCAAATTGTTGAACTTCTATGGCGCACTTAGAAGTCTTTAGTGCTAAAATATGAAATTGCATAAATAGATATACTCAAATGTACAATGTTAAGCTCAGATGACTGATTATCTAAAATGCTAGAATCATTAGTGCACCCAAAGCTTAGTATTGCTTGATTGAGATTTTTGAGAATCCATGCGTCATGTTTTCTTTGTTGAGGTTGATCACGCCCAACTATGCCTTATAAAAAAGGCTAAGCGGTCGCTGCAAATATTATCCGGTTTACAAGTCCGGAGTCGAATCCCACAGAGAACTAAGGT